GGCACCTAACAACAACATTATAGTATCTGGAGTCTTGGAGTGGCACTGTGCAATAAAGTACTAGACTGCAAGGTCAGCTTGAACTATAAGATTGGTGGTTCAAACTCACCAGCTGCTCCTGAAAAACCCTATACAGGGTCACTAGGAGTCAGAACCAACTCAACAGCACTTAACAACTTAAAACACTTACAATACATACATATTCAGGAAGGATAAGCACTGGACTATGAACCACAAGTCAGCTGTTTGAGCCCAACAGGTGCTCCTCAGGAGAAAGATTTATAGCCTCATAAACCTTATATGGAGTCCTGGTGTGGCGCTGTGAGTTAATGCGCTGGACTGCAAAGTTGGTTTGAACTGCAATGTCAGTGGTTCAAGTTCACCAGCTGCTCCCTGGAAACCCTATGCAGGGTCACTATGGGTTGGAACTGACTCGATGACACATAACAACAACAACGAACCTTATAAGAGCTACTATCAGTTGGAACCAATTCAATGGCACTTAAAAGGAAATATATATTACCTTGAAAAATCTTTCATAAAATGCTCAAGAGATTTAGATTTCTCTATTTCTAATGTGCACAATTTTCTTGAAATTTAGGATTTAAACATATCCTAAGCTGGGAAGTACAGACCTCTCTCGACTTTTTCAAAACATATTTTTTACCTGTAAGGTTTTATCAGCTCCACAGGACGCTATTCTCTGACCGTCCTCAGAAAAGCAGGCATGGTAAACAGCATCTGTATGGGGGCGGACAACTAACCGGGAGAGATTCTTGATGTTTTTTTTGTTTCTAAACACATGGAAAAAATGAACAGAAACCCAATAAATGACAATAAAAGTTAAGCATTCTCTTTCAGTAATAACTATCTTTTAAATAGTTATTTTCCAAAAAATATAAAATTCTCCAAACTATCAACTTGTAAATGACAAAGCCCAGATTACCTGAAGAAAAAGCATGATATTAACAAAAGTGAAATTTTAAGAGAAACGTTACCCTAATCAAGCAATCTGTTATCTGTCATAAATGTCACTGTGGTGAAAGAAATCTAGTTGATCAAGTCCCATGTCACTTTCTATTTTCCTTTGACATATTAATAATGGTAACTTGCTGAGAACACATATAAACATGTTGCTGTTGTTAGGGCCACCATGCTGCCCCCAATTCACAGTGACTCTCTGTGACAGGGCAGCACGGCCCCACAGAGTTTTCTGTGAAGTAATCTTTACAGGTGTAGACTGCCAGATCTTTCTCCCGTGGAACTGCTGGGTATGTTTGTACCACCAACTTTTTGCTTAAGCCAAGTACTTAAGCACTGTGTCACCCACCAGAGCGCCTATAAAAGGAAAAAAAGAAACAAAACCAAACAAATCCACTGCCAGCTAGTCAATTCTGACTTATAGCAACTCTGTACAAGACAGAGTAGAAGCAAGCCCTTCAAAATCACCACTGCTTATCCAAGTACAGATGCTATCAACAAAATAAAACTTCACATTTCCTAAGGTATAACATGACACCTACCATTATGATGATGCATTTTAAAACTGTTCTAAGTACAATTACTCAGTCAGAAAAAATATTAGTCAACGCAATTTTCTCATTATCTGAATCTGCTAAATACAAATATTCCACTAGTATAGGTATTGTATTTCTTCTAGATAAACAGGGTAAAAGAATTTAATATATACTTAAAACAGGACGAAAGCATTAAAAGTGTCTGAATATCAGGCATATATACCCCAATCAAGACTGTATCTTTTAGTACAAGTAAGTAAGTAAATGGTATTGTGTTTTGTCTAAGGATCAAGAATTTGGAGACAGACCTAAAAAAAAAGACTTACATCAACCAATTATTAGGTGTGAAAACTCATGGAGTCCTGGTGTGGTGCTGTGGGTTAATGTGCTGCACAGCAAAGTCACTTTGAACCATAAGGTTGGTGGTTCAAGCTCACCAGCTGCTCCTCAGAAACCCTATACAGGGTTGCTATGGGTCGGAACCGACTCAACAGTACTTAACAACAACAATAAACTCATATAATTACCAAGTGTTTACGGAGTTCTGGTGTGGCACTGTGAGCTAATGCGTCAGACTGCAAAGTTGTTTGAACTGTAAGGTTGGCAGTTCAAGCTCACCAGCTGCTTCTTGGAAACCCTATACAGGGTCTCTATGGGTCAGAATCGACTCGATGGCACTTAACAACAACAACTATGTTTTCATTATCTTATACATAAAATCAAGGCAAACCTGCTGTAAACATGCCTAGCAAATAAAGATGCCAGTTATTAATCTTAAAAGAAAACTAAACTAAACACATACAAGGTAGACCAAATGATAAAATAAAGCATAAAGGTAAATAAGACTGAGACCCTGCCCAGAAAGTATTATAATTTATTAGAAGAGATCAAACACATAATTATAATCTCAAAATAACTGGTAAGTTACTAGCAAAGTTCAAAGGATCTCATTTTTAAATATTCTTTTTTACCCCATGATCTATCTAGTCAATTCCCCAAATTAAGCTCAGAAAGTAACTTGTCACAATGATGGGTATATAATAAATATCTGAAAAGTATGTGATCAATGAAAAAACAAAGAGAGAAAAAATGATTTACCTGAAAGCTGAAACCCTATTAAAATTAGTCATATACTAAACTAAACCTTTATATAGTAAAGAAAGAAGAGGTTTGCAGTACTGTGATATTAAGACTTTGTGTCAACCTGGCTGGATCTAGATTCTTCGTGATTTGATAGTGAAGATGTAGTAAGTCTCCATGATGAGATCTACTAAAATACAATTACTTCCATGAACAGCCATTCAATTGAAATTAAATTTCCTTGGGGGTATGGACTGCTACTGGACACTCAGGCAAAACTTGCTTATTTTTGGCTGAGTCTTGATCCTCCTTCTGACTTGTCACCTGACCCCAGTTCTTTGACGTTGAGCCAGAGGTCTACCACATTGCCTGCTGGCTGATACTGGATTTATTAGCCTCTGCAACCAGAAGCCTGCCATCTAGCCTGCCAATCTTGGGTTCATCAGCTCCTGCAGCTATGGGTCAGGAGACGCTTTCAGCCTGACATCTGTCAAATCTGTGTTGAAAGAAGTACAACCACAATGATTCCTAGAAGCGAGGACAGCAAGACTTTTTCTCATGTACTTTGGACATGTTACTGGTTGGTCTAAAGAAGAGGGTAAGCAACAAAGAGGAAGGCCCTGAACGAGATGGACTGACCAGTGACTATAACAACACACTCAAACATAGCAACAATTTTGAGGATGGTACAGGACTGAGCAGTGTTTCACTCTATTGTACATACACTGTGCTGCCAGAAATCAAAACACTAGCAAGTAAACAAGCAACTACCATACAGGGCGATAAAAGCCAGGGAAAAGAAGAAGGTGCTATGGGAGGAGTAGGGCAGACCTTGAGCAAAAGGGTCATCTCAAGAAATATATCAGATGAGTCCATGAGAAAAAAAACTTTGGAGGGAAAGGGACAGTGTACAAGAAAGGAAAAGAGCAAACAGCACACACAAAACCAAAGAAACCTAGAGAGGTTAGGGTTTTAAGCAGGATATCATCATTAAGATTGTTGTTAGGTGTCACCTAATCAGCTGCAACTCATAACTACTCTATGCACAACAGAAAGTAACACTGCCAGTCATGCGTCACCTTCATAATTGTTACTCTTGAGCCTACTGCGGCTGCCACTGTGCCAAATCCATCTCACTGGGGTCTTCCTCTTTTTCAATGGCCTTCCACATTACC